ATGAATAACTGATAATATCCCTACTATATATAATGCGCTATGTCTGTCTGTCCGTCTGTCACGAAATTCGGTATCAAGCGAACAACAACCTACAGGGTCCAGGTCAAGTTTGGGATGGGTATACCATATCCCTAGAAGTAAAAAACACACATCAGAGCCAAGCGGAGCGGAGCCCCGCCCACAGTCTGCGTGGTGTGCATCGGTTGATTCCAAATACAGTCAAAAACAGCCTCGAGACTGGAACAAAAAGTGGTTATAAATGTGCGTCGGTAAGCCAGATTGCATTGGGGAGACCCCACCCTCGGTGGGCGGGGCGTTCTCTGGAAAAGCGGTGCTCAATAAAAATATCAATAACTAGGTTAGGAGGAAGCCTACAGAGCAGAAAAGAAATTAGTGCAGGGCAGCGATGTCTAAGGTATTTCCAGCACACATGATGTGAACGGAGGTCCGCCCACAATGGGCGGAGCGTGTCCTGAAGTAGACGACGTTTTCTACAAGAGCTCATAAATCGGCTCTGAGATGACTTGGAAACCTGAAAACAGTGGATACAGGTTAGGAGAAGAGGAGAAGCTAAATGTGGAAGTGTTTGGGCCCGTAGTTACAAAAGGTGGGAACGGAGTTAGCAACAGTGGACTCCTCTCATAAACTCGATTCTATGAGTCCGGGGTAATGGGCAACAGTGTAATATAGTGTTGGCAGAGATGGGCAAGGTGTGTGGGCAGGTGGAAAAAATGCATATAATTGCGTAGTCTAGCATTGCTATCGGTTCATAACTCGGATCCAATAAGTTTCGGCGATGGGAAAATAGTAGAATGAGGTTGGGGAAGAGATGATAGTCATTTGGTATCGGTGAGCGAGGCATGTAACGAAGTGGGCGGGGTTTACCACAACGATACGTTGCTCGATTTCGTCCCATTTACAAGACCTCATAATTCGGCTCCGAGATGACTTAGAGACCTGAAAAAATACGCCAGAGGTGAAAGTAGGAGTAGAGGTTGAATGTGAACGCTGGGCGTGGCACACCCGGATGTGGGCGGAGTTTGCCACCGCTCTCATAACTCGGTTCCTAGAAGTTCCGGCGACCGGGGAAAATGTGCATAAGTATTGAGGTATGGAGTAGGGTTGAATGCCATTGTTGGGCTAAGCATGCACCAAAGTGGGCGGGGTCTGCCTCAGAAGGACGCAAGAATTTGGGAACTTCATAAACGCCATTAAGAAGACACATTCCTGAATTCCCCATGCTCGAAATACTAGCGGATCCTAGATAGAAAATACGATACTTCCGCGCTGTCAGGCAAATCAATTTTATGTTTTATTGTATGAGTCGTTTGAAGCTATGCCCGTGTATTTGCCATGTATCAAAAACTTCACAGTGCCAGTGGTTTCGTTACGATTGGGTGAAATCAGTTAACTGTTATCCAGTTAGAGGTGAAACCACGAGATGAGGGAATACCTACGTGTTCCATGAAGGCGAGAATTATACTTTGCCTAGAAATCATTAACTGAATGAAGCTTTGCCACTTTTGTCGATGAGTTTGCCAGAGATTTGGGCACTCTTCTCCAATCGACTTTGTTTAAAAGAAGGGGATCAAGCCGGTGCAGGGCTTAGAAAACATAGTTTGATTCGTCAGTCGGCGTAAGTAAGATGTACCGAGCAGAAAGCTAAAATCAAGACAAAAATACTGATGGGCCCGATTTTACCGCTGCAGCCCCGTCTCATGCACGCGAATGCGTGCGCAGCCAAACTGGTATTAATAATAGCATTTATACCTTTTAAACATAATCATAGTATCAACGTTTTATCATTATGACAACTCAAGACCGGAAGTTGCCGAATAATTACTTCGAATCTCATGACCGAAAAGTAATGAGATGAAGAATCTTTCATGTCCCATCTGTTTTTGATCATCGCTAGATTCTATTTTTTCGGCTCGATGGTAAGATCTCTGGCACTACTTCGTCTAAAATAGTTTGCATGATTTGTACCATATAGAGAGAAAATTAGTATGAAATATACGAACTCTAAGTTTAAATCACGAGTTTTTTTTTTCAGGGAGTGGATGAAGTTTTGGAGCAGTACGATAAGGCTTTGCGCGCCTTGTCTTCGCAGTTGGGCTCAAAACCATTTCTGTTTGGAAACCAACCAACAGAGGCGGATGCACTTCTGTTCGGACATTTGTTCACAATAATCACAACTAAGCTGCCTTGCATGGACTTGAAAAACGCCATTCTCAGTTACGCAAATCTTCAAGAGTTTCTCGACTCGATTTGAAACTGAGTATTTCAAGATATAGGTCCTATTGTCTGTAGATTTTCTTATTACAATTGAGGATCTTTGTTGGCAGTTAAATAATTTTGATATAGATTGTCTCACACAGTAAGTCAAAGGCGTAGTGATTAACATATTTTAAGGATGTCTCTAGGATAGTTACAGTTGCAGAAGTTTTGACAATATTTTTAACTTCTTTGGTTAGTTAAGTATCCATGATCTGTGTGCTTTTATAGAGTCAGCGACACTGTCATTCATGAGAATTTCATGGTTAATGCATCAATGAATATATTATATCTCTGTCAATGTTTGGTGGGTTTTCAGTTGCGTGAGAGGGTTTCAGCTGATTATTGAATGAACAGTCTGTCTCCGGACAAACAGTCGTTACAGGTGATAGGGACGAGGCATCCAAAATTCTGAAATCAGCTGTTCTTGACGGTGTACGATTCACTATAATTAGCACTTGATCTCCTACCATTTGTCGTGGGCAGGGGTATTATAAAACAAATGGCGCCACTTTCCACGTGTACGGCCCGGGATTGAATTCCGGACCGAACTTCGCTAGGCGAACCTCCCTCCAGGGTCAGTCAAGTGCTACCAGACTTGTTTGGGAGGGAAAATTGTGACTTGTACATCGGCTAGCCTTGAAGTCAGGAGTTTGTATAGATCATACCGTATTTAAAGAAATCTTTCACGGAAAAAGCTTCGCCTTCATTACCACAGAAAACGATACTCGCATGTCTCGGAGCGAACTGTAATGTTTCGGCAAACGTCACATAGTAATTTCCACCCACTCATTGTCAGTGCTCTTTCCGCCCACTATGGGCACGCTTCAATTCACTTTGAAATGAGTGCACATATTGCTATTCTGTACCAATTTCTGCTTTGTGACCTTCAAGTAATCGAGTTAGGAGTTTCAGTCAGCACTGTCCATATATGAGAGAATAAACTCCGTCCACGCGGGTAAGTCTCTTTATTTCACCCGGTGCAAAAACCTGAGGAAATCACTCATATTCTTCTTCTCTTGCCAGGAAAGGATGATGGGTCGAAGTGGCCATATGCAGTGAGACCTTAACTGCTGGATGTGGACGCTGATCTCGAATCTGCTTTCCAAATCTGCCAATCGATTTTCTGAACGGAGTTATGAAGCAAAAGAGCAGCGGTAGTGGTCCGGGCTTCACGTGCGAGAGATCGTGGGATCGATTCTGATGGATTCTCCCTACTTGCCTTCGTGGCAACATGGTTGAAAAAGGCATCATGTTGAAATGAACACCAACAACTATTTGCGCCTCATGCTCAGCTTCTCTTCTCTAACCTTTCTACTGCGAGGATAATACCATGTGAATGGTCGAAATTGTGCCTGAAGGGTGCTTATATAACAG